ACACAATCATTTAATCTGACAAGGATTTGGACATAGGGTTTCTAGAAAATTACTGATAGACCCATGTATAAAATAATGCCACTTAAAATTTTATACTTTGTTTGTATTTGTACTGAGTTTAAAAAGTTTTTTTCAGTTATAATAACCGTACTTACCGAATTGAGGATATTGATTGGAACAAAGATCCAACTCATACTTTTGAAATGAAAAATGAGAGAATCTCTTATATGCAGTATTATAAAAGAGTAAGAATATCTAAAGTTTATAATTTTTTTTTATTTTTTCTGTTAAGAATTATTATAAAATTCTCTTGTAATGGGGAGTAAAGTTGACGAAGTTATTAAATTATTTAACTGTTAAGAAAGTTATGTACAATGTGATGCTTTAAATTATTCAAGTAACATCTTTATTCAGAATGTATAAAATATACATCATACCAGATTGAACAAGATGTTTTATCTGGTAAGACAACTATTTATCATATAGGACAGACACAGACATACATTCATTTTTATATATATAGATTATTGTTGAAATATTAATAAATAGTTAACTTTTGTGTTATAAAGTAAAATGGCAAGTAATAATAAAAGGCCGTAGAAGGATAAGCATGGTGAATTGGCCCCAGACAAATAATGGAACGAAAATTGGCTCAAAAGTACTCTAAGTATCAGTGTGTGATAAATTACTGCCCAATATTAGACCGATTTTGAGATTATGTACAAAATTGTGGTTTTTTGAATTTTTCAGTATATTGCTGTTCCTTTGTGTCAATTTGCCAAGGAAATGATCTATCATTATGGGAAAAAAATTAAGGCACAAGATAATGTACATTAAAAACTTTTTTGTTGCAAAATTCAAAAACAAAAAAAAATGAATTTATTGGCTTAGAACAGTGTAAGTTTCAAAAATTTTTAGTAAACTTTACATTACCCTATATCAGTTGTGTCAAACTCATTTAAGCAACAGGCCATTCATGCAACTGGTAAGATTCATGAGGGCCACATCAAATTTACAAATTTTCTTAAAATTATAATTTGAAGTGAGAATGCAGGAATATAGATATGGCGATTAAAACACATTATGTAGTTCAGTGAATTCAACTCAATATATAATTGCTATAGTATTGATTTTATTTAAACATTTATTTTGATTCAGTAAATGTCTCTTCAATCCGAAAAAAATTCTTTTCGGTAGACTACCTCACATCCAGTTCAGGTTATAATTCCTTTTATTGCTTTTACAGATGCATTTCGAGCTACCGAAAAGAATTTTTTTCGGATTGAAGAGACATTTACTGAATCAACATTACAAACAGCTAAACTATCGGAAAATTCAGAACATTTATTTTATTTAATGTACATATTTACAAAACTAAAATTGTTTTCACTGGATACTTGCCGGCACTATCTTCCTCCTCTCTAGTTTTCCAATATCTGGATTCAAAGACACAACAATCTTCATTATGGCAGATAGATGCTTATCAGTTAATCTTGATCTGTAAACAGTTTTATTTAATTTCAGAGCATCGTGGCCGCTAGTTTGACACCCCTGCCCTACATTAAACTATAAAAAAACTGACAACTTCATTTGCCAAATGCAATATAATTAAAAAGAAAGTAAAAAAAAGCAATCAATAAGAACTGTAATTACATGATGTAGGATTAATGATAGAAATAGAAGTAACAATAACCTCCCAGCATTCAGCTAAATCTTCCGTCTTATAATAGAATGATGATGTTCTGGCATTGGTAATGTCTTTTGTCCTTTTTGTGCTGTCACCAACTGTCATCTCCCCTTACTTGTCTCCCCCTCAACCCCTCGTTTATTTTCTTAACAGCTTAGGAATGTTACTCATCTAACTCCCACAATCGGCCGTCCTCATCTGACTGGTTGAAAACTTCATTAGTTGAATGGACCCATGCTTTCACATTGTCTGCAGAAGTAATGTCTGCAAGTGAGAAGACCCTTCACGACCTTCTCACTAAATATCTGTCATTTCTTAAAACTTTTCTGATTTTGTACAGACCTAAGAACTTTGGATGGATTTTTAATATGGGCCCGTACTGCGTTCTTCTTACAGCTACCAGATCATTGACTAAGAATTTGGTGGGGCATTTCCTTTTCTTGTTAAACGTTTTCCCGTTCTCCACTTGCAGTTTCTTAATGTTCTCTTTTGCTGTTGCTCCAATTTCGTCCCTTACTTCCTCAAAGCACAGAATTTTTTTTCTCGATCGGTTCTCGTAGTTCGAGGCCCTCGTTCAAATGCATTTTGGTACCAAACAACGTGAAAGCAGACCTATCAATACTTCAATTATACGAGGAGTTGATGTATTTCATTGCCAGATCAACGTGCTTATACCATTCTTTGGGTTTGGCGCAGACAGTTTAGTAAACAATGAAATGATGACTTGATGCATTCTCTTCACCTGTCCATTGGCTCTTGGAATGCCTATAGTAATTCAAATATGCTCAATGTTTTCTTGCTCGCAATAATCTTTAAAGGCACTCAATGTAAATGCTGATCCACGGTTGGACACAATTCTCTTAGGGTTACCAAATACAACCACCTGTTTTTTCAATCAACTTACAACTTCCTCTGTTCTTGTTGACTTAGTGGGATAGAGCCACAGAAACTTGGTGAAGGCATCCATAACTGCAAATATGTACAGTACTGATAACTAGTGTTGCCACCAGGATTTTTACCTGGAAAAGTTGGTTTTTAAACTCATGGACCGAATTAATTGTTAATTTGTCCAGTTTTCGTAGAAATTATGATGAAACAAAATACATTTATAAAAATATTTGCCATTACAGTCGACCCCCTATAACACGGTAGATATGTTCCATTCTTTATGAAATTGATGTTCTACGAGTCCTTAAATACATGAGCCAATCACAGCCCGGCACGTATACAGTTTACGGACTTTTGAAAGGTTTTCTTCCATAAAATGAATTGATTCTAGACTAATTCGACTCAACGTTTCCAAAAATACATGTAATTTTTTCGGAATAATCCATATAAACTATGCTATAAACAAAAAATTGTGGGATTACTTACCGAGTGTGCACCGTTCGACGTCGCCATTGCTTAAGCTTGTTTTCGTCGTGGAGCGGTGCATCAAATGGCACTTGCATGCTTCCTGATAAATTATTTTTCTGCGAAAATTTTGCTGAACTTTGGAGACGTCATTAATATAAATATAATTTTTATGGCTATTAAATAGTAAATGGTTTTTAGTAAGTCCACTACTTGTTTAAACTCAACGGTTTGTACAATATCCGCTATTGGTCTAGATTCGCTCAATCTTGTCACGACACGAGTCGACAATGACGTTTTACTGAATTATACGAGTCTCTTTTAGTGTGTTTATACGAATACGGTTGCAATTTTTTCGCCGTCATATAGGAATCCGAACTATATGAACCCGTTTTATAGGGGGAGGTCTACTGTATTTTATTTTAACAGTTAAAGACTAACTTTGCACCCCCCAGCCAAACTTATCCCCCATCTTATCCCTAGGCTAAGAGTGACAGAAAATGTACTTTTAAAATTCTAACTTCCAAATATCTCTATCAGAGATATTAGGTTTGTTCCAATACGAGTCCCTAACTGGTTTAAAACTGGCATGAGCATTGTTCAGTTCTTGGCTGTAAAATGGCATTGTGCATGCTTTGCACAGTTTCAGATTCAAATCAGTCAGGGACTTGTGTTGGAAAAAACCTGTTGTACAGATCAGCAATTTTGAAAAGGTGGCAACACTACTGATAACGCTTCTTAGTCTGTGTTAAATCACCCAGATGAATCAAGTCCGCATAAGTTGTCATAGGTGTAACTAGACAGTTTTCTGTGGTCCTGGCCGACTTACATAGGCATTAATGTTAAACTGGTTTACTCGTCACCACTGGATAAATCGACATACTTTTGCTGTCCCACACTCATTTAGACGTCTGATAGGTTGACTCCCCTCCTGAAAAAATGAGTTCACTGTGCGGTGTGAATCACACAGTAAAAAGTCATTTTTAAATAACTACTCACCACACCACACTAACTCAAAAAATTACGCACACAGAACCAATTTACGGTGTAGTAACATCGAAAAACATTGAAAAAACAAACGTTTTCGAACCCCTTCTGGGCTCTGCATCAGATTCTAATGGTTTTTAGATGGAAATTCGATTAACGAATGCCGTTTAACTAACAAGAGGACCTTACAGTCTCGGAAATTCATTTCGGGATGAGATTTCGCAGGTTACCTCATGGGTGTTCACCCAGAAGAATTGTAAAGCACACTAGCCAGAAGATTCTGAGAAAAAGGGCTCTAAAGTTTAATCGTAGCTCATATACTGGTCGATTTTACACTATGGCAGTGCAGCGAAATGGCTAATTCTGTAGCGAACTCGCTTGCAACGCGGGCGATCTAGGTTTGATCCTAGCCTTGGCTAACTT